AAGAGAGAGATATATATATACGACGTCAGGTCCCCGTATATTCGTACAAAATTTAGTGTTCAAATTGTAAAAAGTGTTCATAAGTCAAGGATGAGGTGTCGCGCGAGGAATCGCTCTATTCGCGCGAGGACGGCCGTGTCTGCGTACGTGTGCTATATCGCTCCAGTTTCCTTGTCAAAATTCCGTCTTTTCCTCGGAATTTATTCGTGCACGGATTACGAGAACCGTACGTGCCGCTTGCAATAGATAAGCTTCGAGGACATTCTGTGTATAACGATACACAGAAATGGAAATTGGAATTCCGAATCCGGATTAGATTTTGTTGATATTTGTTGAATTGTACATATATATATATTGTAAAATTTTATAGCGTCGTTGTGTCTTCAAATTTTATCACCAAATTCTCACATTTTCATGTATAATTTGTTGCATCGTATAAAATTTTATCGTGTGGCAAAAAGAATTTTTATCGCGTACGTTGACCGAGCTGTACGCTCAGAAATCAAGCTCATGTGCGTCTGCAACTGCCTGTTATCTGCATCTCGAAGGGGGGCGCAAGACACCATCGGAGGTTGCGCCTCTCTACGACCGGTGACGTTCTCACGCTCTCATCGCGGGTGCGATAGTCTCGCCGATGGGGTATCGAACGTGTTCGCTTAGAGCACGTTTCAATTAATGGATCTTGTTGGGAAGAGACGTAGGAAGGTAGGGGGAGTCGTGAAAAAAAAATTACGATATAGAGTATATATATTATAAATATATATATATTATATTTATGCGAACGCGTGAATTCTTGTGCAAGGGTGTCGTGTCGAGATTCTTTCTCGTCTCGTTATGCGTTCGTCCCTTCGCGAAAGGGGGGGACCACCAGTCAATAACATATTGATTATTCTTATAGATTTCTCGCGCGATACGCATTGTTGCAAAGATAAGCCCATCATCGCGAAAGAAAGAAAGAAAGAAAGAAAGGAAATAGAGAGTCAGAGAAAAAGAGAGAGGAAGATTAATTTACGAGGCTTAAAAAGCAGACTGTACTATCGAATAGATTTTAATATAATATATATATTAAATTAAAAAAAATATATATATATATACATACACATCAATATATATATTAAAGAAAAGAATCATAGTTTATTATCGCAATTAAATTACCCACGGATGTACACGTATACAGAGAACAAGAACGAAAGCGTGTGAGAAAGAGAGAGAGAGTCAAACAAATGGTACATATATATATTATATATATACACACATATATTATTGCGATTATTATTATTATTATTATTGCGATTATCATTATTATATATATTATATATATATATAAACAGAAGTTATATCGAATATATTTTAGCGCTAGTTGATAATACCTATTATATATATATATATATAACGTCGTTGCAGTTTCGAGACGATGCGTCAGAAAACGAGGGTAAAAATAAAAATAGAAAAAAGAAACAAGTGTGTAAGAGCGAGAGAGAGAGGGGGGGATCGAGGATCGCCACAGTTACGAAAACGGAGAAGGGATCGTTCGACCCCCGAGATTTTTCTTGTAAATGCAATTAAATGCGAAAAAACGCGCAACGCCGCCAATACGTTGATTTTAACATGTGCTCTTTATGCGGGATCCGATGTTTTAAAACGCGCGAGTAGTCCCCGGTTCGGTGCCTTTCTTAAGCGACATAAAATAAACGACAATGTTGAAAAAAAAAAGAGAAGAAAATAGATGGAAAAAGCGTGATGAATATTGTAGTGCGAGAGCGAAAAAAAAGAGACGAATAAATAAATTGTTATCGCGCGCGCGTCCCTCTCCCTTCATCGAAGGGACGGATCGACGATCGCATTCTCAGTGCCAAATATAAGGGAGAGATTCGCTTTCCGAGAGGGCGAGAATTTAATAAGAAGAAAAAATAATAAGGAGACGAGAGAGAGAGAGAAAGAGGAGAAGGCGAAAATTTTATAGAAAATTTTTCTAAAGCTGACGAGTCTTTTCTGACGCTGGGTAGACTTAGTATATTTTATATGCACTGTTTGTTCGACTATGACTATCAATAATAAAAAGAACGGTGTTCAATAGATTGTAAATCGGAGGATTCTTAAATATTCTCGCCGATCACCGAATCATCCGCTGTACACACGGTGTCTCGAAAGGGTGGCTCCGATCCGCGAACAGATCGCGAGAGATTTAAATTTCTGGAGTCCCGCTGAAAAATCTGAAATTCTTAAATTCGTGCGTGCGCACGAATCTCAAAATCCATCTGGATCTAATCGATCGAATTGGCTTGGTAAATTTTCCCGCAGCTTCTTTCGGGACATTCTGTATACCTGACGACTTTCCGAGATTCGTGAGCGACGGAACTTGCCGCAGAAAACAAACAAAATTCTGCGGAAAGGGGAAGCTTCGCGTATCCCGGTAAAGTCGGTCGTGCCTAACGTATCAAGTAACGTATTAATATATTGTGGTGAATGATGATAAAAAGAGAGAGCGAAAGAGAGAGAGAGAGTGTGTGTGTGTGTGTGAGTGAGAGAGAAAGGGAGTGTGATGAACATCTTTGTCAAGCGAATTTGCAATCGTCATTACGTGCGCAGAGATCGGTGGGAAGTGTGACAAAAATATGTGTTCAAAAAAAGAAAGAGAAGAGGAAGCGGAAATGTCTGTGCGGCCAACGTTTTCCGCGTTTCGTCTACATGACGGCGACGGTTTCGCATTTTTTTTTTCTTTCTAATCCCGTTGACTCGAGAGGAAAGGTAACTACCAATGCCACTAACAAACTGTAGTGATCGTATGTAGTAATTGTTGTTTTTTTTTTTTAATTTTGTCTTGTTCTCCTTTCCTTTCTCAGATCCACTTTTGCGTTATTATTGTGTTATACGATAAGCGCGCACGTGAAGCCGCCGGTCTTGCTCAAAAGCAAAAAGAACATGTTTTCTAGACCACGACCCGCTAGAATATACCAAAAGAGAAATTTTGTGCAAGAGCACAATTAATACGATTAAAAAATTATATTAACACTGTATAGAAAGAATGTTCGAAATTTATTTTCTTAATTTCAAGTGACTAATTATTGAATTAATACGTTAGATTAATCTTTAATATTGCTAAATCGAGAAGAGGTAGCCAGTACGTTTAGTGCTGTGAGAATTTTAACGGCTTTGAAGATGCGTTTGTTAATCGAGTAAAATTTTATTAATTGTACTAACGAGGGTCTATGATCTTGCGTGATATTCGTGGTCAAGATAACGTCAGTTTCATTTAATTAACATAACAAAGTGCCATAATCGTAAGCGCGACTGTCACACGACTTCCTCGACGGGCAGGACGCGGGTTTCACGTGCGGCAAACGTTCACGCTGGTGTCACGCCACGGAATTCGAATATACCCGTATGCATATCTCGATTTGTATGTATACATTATTTTTATTTGTACGCCGACACTGGATGTCAAAGAGACCTCCCCGCACTCGTCACGAAGCACCGTTATTCTTAGCCAAAAATTACTTTTATTTAGTTTTTTCGTTCTAGCGCACCCTCGTCTCGTCGGCCGCCGTCTCGTCACGAATGGCAATCTTCTTAGATTTCGCCCAGAAATTTATTTTTCACCTGTGGAAATACTTGCGGCGAAATCTTCCCGCTAATCTTCTCTTATTACGAGTGTCGAGACTTTTACTTCCCGCGAAGCGGTGGAGATTTCTGCCGACGCGATTGTCAATAAGGATCGACACTTGCGATAATTGGAGGGAAAGTAGAATTAGATTCTGCGAGTAGCAAATTGTTTCTGCAAGAAACATGGTTTCGTTTAAGAGAACAAAGTCTTTCGTTATTTTTTTTTGTGAGGAAGAAAGACGCGACGTCGGAATCGCGGCTGCCGAGGAGACGATTCTTAGGTGTTAAGTTTCCTTCGTCGCGGTTTGCTCGAAGAAGCGATTCGATCCTGACGTTCTCCAGAGCGATTCTTAGGACTCTTCCACGTCCTGGAAAACTCAGGACGGTCGGACGGCCAACCGCGACGAGAGGCCAGCGATTATTATTTTTTACAGACCTTTGTTTTGCATGTTGCGCATTGTTGTTTTATTTTCTTTTTCTCTTCGAGAAAGGAAGAGCAAAGAGATTGTGGAAAATAAGAAAAAAAATATATATATGTATATGTGTATATGATTTTCCGTTACGTTTATATTGTTATACAATGTTTCATTTTATATTCCTTTTCTCTCTCCTCAAGTTTTTTTCCTTCCGTTTTAATTCTTATGATTTAAGAAGTAGAAATTTTTTTCCAGTGAACTTTAAATTAGATTTATTGGATTATTATTAAATACACTTACACGACTTAAATACACACACATTTATTTAAAAAATGGTATGATTTTAACTGGATTGATTTCTTCGGCGCGAATATTTCGGTGATTTTAACTTCACTCCATTTTATCCCATTCTACGTCCCTCATTTATGATGTATTTTTAAGTTATATTTATTATTACAGCACTTTGTACAATTCTGTATTTAGTCTTAAATCGACATCATTTGAATGTAGTTTTAATTTTAATAGTAGATCGATTACATATTCATATAGTTGGTAGCGATATGTATTTAGATCACTTTGCATGCGTCGATATTTTTTTATCGTGTATACCATTAGCTCGATTATTTATTTATTGGCCTTATTTTATGGCTTTCGCATGCAACGCACCGGAATCTTACGAAAGTATCCTCTTCGAGCGATATTTCAAAAGAGACATCGCGCATCATTTGTAGAAATATCGCTATCCTTGGAGAAAGTATCAACAACCGGGAATAATATTCAGAGCAATTAGTCATACGAACAATTATTTAAAAATCCCATTAATGTCAAAATAGAATTTGGAGCGCTTCTAAAGGAAGTTATTATATCGATGCATTTGGAAAATATATGATATACTGATACATTTAAAAATGACATTGAAGCATATTAAAAACTATAAAAATCTGCATTAAACAATATCGATACTTTCGAAGGAGGATGTAGCGTACTATCCATATTTTTTTGATATTTTATAATAAATTAGTAAAAGTCACATTATATCAAATAATTCAATCTTCGAATAATTTGACTAAAAGCACATTTACTAATCGTCGTCTTTCCACAGAGTTCTCGTCGAGCAAAACGGATAACGGCAACGAGACCTGGAAGGAGAAAACTCGCGGATTGAACACGGGCGCATCGCCGGCCACGACATCGATGGACGTGTCGTCGTCCCCGAACTCGTCGTCGTCCTCGTCGCCGTCGAACGCACGAGCGAACACGTCGTCGTCGACGTCGACGACAAACGCGGCGCCGACGACGACGAACGCGGGCGCGACGACGACGACGACGAGCGCAGGCGGCACATTGACCCGCAGCTCCTCGGGATCGCCGGCCTCCCGGAACGCCGGTGGCGGCGCGAACACCACGTCCAACGCCGGCGCAATGTCGGCGCCGAGCGGCCGTCAGGCCCCGAAGCGACGTATGCGACGTCGCGCCACGTCGCAGTCCCAGGATCCAGCCGAGCAGCTGACGGAGATGTCGGTGCGCGGCTTAAATCTCTTCCGTTACGCTTCCATCAGCGAGGGTGTCTATCAGTGCACCGAGTGTGCCAAGCTCGACATCCAGAAGACGTTTAAGAACAAGTACAGCTTCCAGCGGCACGCCTTCCTCTACCACGAGGGCCATCAGCGCAAGGTGTTCCCCTGTCCGGTATGCGCCAAGGAGTTCTCGCGGCCCGACAAGATGAAAAACCACATGAAGACCGTGCATGACTGCTTCATGCCCAAGGACTGCGTCATGCCCTTCAGTTTCTTTCTGCCTGGTGGGCCTTAGCGGGCGGGGCGAGGGCGAGGTGGGCTGCCGATCGGCCCGGCGGCGGTTCAGAGGCACGCGAGGAGGATCGGTGCCACCGCGGCACCCAGGACCACGGCCGCGGCGGCCAGGACGACGACCTTCAGGCGCGGCAGTCGTTCCTGAACGGCGTTCGGTAACGGCGGGTGAATAGAGTCAATTTCCAAGGACTGCGAAATCTAAAAGCAGATACAACGTGCGGCACAATTAGTTGGAAAAAATTTAACTTTTATTTTTTGTCAATATAGAGAAAAAAATTGATCTTATACTAATTATAAATATGATTATATATAATTATACGGAATATTTTTGATGTTCGGTCAAGACCATAGATTCCTCTACTTGCCTCATGCCTGCGTGCATGTGTCGAGTTTACTTCAATAAGCAAAATAATTAAATATAATCATTTATTCTTTATATCAAAGTTTATTAACACATTTTAAGCAGTGTTCTCTTGGTTTCGAAGCTGTACACAAGTATTTATGCACCTCATTTGTGGGTGCTTGATTTGAGAAATTATTCAACTTGCAATAACTCGGTTAATATTAAAAATACTGTAAAGGACTTCGATTGAGTTTCTTATGTAGAATATGCGATTTTTTTATGACATACATCAATCAAACATTCTGTATATAATTATACATGTATATACATATGTATGTGTATACACTTATAATTAGTACATGTAATAAATAAATATATATATATATATACTTATTTATTTATTTATAAATATATATAAATTATAAGTATATAATTATAATGAAATTTTTGTGAGGAACTTATATTGCACCTTTCTGAAAATGTAAAAGATTCAGTACAATTTTAATTAATTGATTAATTGCCGCTGAACAGTTTGCCGCTTTTTTTGTTATTATTAAAATCCCGAGACAATTCGATAAACAATAAATAAGTGAGCAAACTGTTTCTTAGCGAGAAGTCAATATAGTTCGCATTGAATAATCACCCGCCGTTGCTGCAGCGATCATCGCGTTTGCCAGCATACGTAAGATATCATCCCACGCCGAAAGACGGTTTGGTCACGGACCAATCGCGTAGCCCATCTCACCCCCGCGATGACGGTGATCATCGACAACGATCCGCGCTTCGCCGTGTTCTTCCGCGAAGCGAGAGGAGGCTTCCTTAAAGAGGAAGTGACAGATTATCTAAAGATGATACGAGCAAACGAGAGAGCGAACTCAAAGAAAGTCTAGAGGGGAGATGATGATATGTGATGATAAAGAAGACGAAGATGAGAGAAGGAGAGAAGAAGGGCAGTCCCTCCTCGCTTTCTGTGTACGTTAGTATTATATGATCCTCTGTGCAATAATGGGCTCGATCCTCGTTTGTTCATCGAGTCAACGTGTATGACACGTGGAAAAGGAAATCGTGGTGCATGTGCATCCGCATATGGCGGAAATGTTTTACGAATCGTTCTATTTATTAAATTCTATTAATAACGTACGAACGACGTGATTATTTGACGATTATAACGTATAATTTGCGAACAAAAATATGTAAAGGATTTTTTTTTAAACGCAAGATAGGAATTCTCGATATCGCGAGGATACACCCGGTAAATTCGTTTTCTGCGTGCACCACGAAGCAAGATCCCTTTACAACCTGAAGAAGCAGTCATCAAATCAAGCGTTTCGAGAACTCGGAAGTCAATATCGAACATCGTCGAGTTGAAAGAGAACTATTTTTTACGAGAGCACACTCAGAATCTGTTAGAATAGTTTGTGGTATTCGTGTTGCTCCGAGGAATTAAGAGACATCCATTTCCGAGGTCTCGGCTATTCGGGGTTCCTAAGTAATTATACGACGACGAATCCCTTTCATCGAAGAATGCTGACGAATGGAGAAAAAGATTCTTACTCCGATTTCACGAACGGTTTCCTACGAAAGCGCACAATTTCTGTTTCGACGTGTCAAATTTTTTCTGTCCGTAATTTATCTTTTTAATTTTACGTTAAATTCTAGCTATTAAGAACTCCACTTAATCGTGTTTCTTTTAATCATAATTATTCACTCGGGAATTAAATCTAAAATCATATCTCTAATTGCTACATTTTTGAAATTATGTAACGTTCAATCTTGAACAAAATCCAATTTTTAGTTTGACCAAATAATGCATTCCTGCTTCTCTATAGAATTTTCGATGCAATCTGTAAGAAAATTACAAAAAAAAAGAGGGAAGAAGTAAAGATAATAAATGAAGAGGAAGGAGCAAACCGTTATTTCGTGAATCGAACAGAATTAACATTTTTAATTAGAAATACACGCGAAGAAAAGAAAAAGAAAGGAGAGACGAGGAAGTGTATATTTATTATGGAATATATTAGTATGGTGTTAATAAGAACGGAGAAGGAAAGAGAGAAAGAGAGAGAGAAGAAAATTCGAAAGAACACGAATATGTGAAGTATCCTGTGTAGCAGTGTTATACCGCGGTGTACAGGTTTCTTTTCCTTCTTCCCTGAAATATCTTCCTGTTTTTTTTGCCTCTTCTGAGGAAGTGTATTATAGAAGCATTGATTATTGATTATTAACTAGTTACTTGCTATATAACTATCGATTATTCTCGCACTTGCTATTACAATCGCAACATTATTTTTATTATCACTGTTACTATATATATTACAGCTATTATTATTATTATTAATTCTTATTTTTATTATCACTTGTTCGGTAAGGATTATTAACTTTTAGCTCTGGACCAGCATGGATATAAAAAAAATGAATTATTACACTAACTATTATTATTATTATTATTGTTAAGTATATAAGCAAACGCACAGGTGCACGCGCACATTTAGAGAGAAGACGTTATATATTGTATATGTACACGGACACCGTATAAATGTATGCATGTCTGACGGACCCGACTGGAGCCTCTTGTTTCCCCTTCCCTGCCCTCCCTGCGTTCTTTCGTCCATGAAGACCCAAGTAAAGAGATCTGTCTCCAGTTCGGGACGTTGTTGACGGATAAGAGAGAAAGAGTTGAGAGGATACGGGCTGTCAATTAATTGACCCTGCTGAGCAAGAGCTTTCGAGGGAGCATCGACAACCGAAAGAAAGCAGTATTTTGGTCTTCCGCACTGGCGTTATCCGTGTACGCGTGTGAATGAGAAAAGCGATAAAACGTGAAAATGTAAATGCATGTGAGAACGATCGAGCGAGAGAAATATAGAGTTATTTAACAGAATATATGTATAGAGAAAAAAAAAGAGATATATCTTATGAGAGGGAATGTGCACGTGCTTGTGATTTCTTCCCAGGAGACCTTCGCCTTGAGTTATCAAAAGTCGCGACGATAACTCTTATCTACGCGGGATCGCGTAATAATTAGGTTGATTCGGCATAAATCGTAGCGCTATAAATGGATCTATTTCGGAATTTTTATTCACGTTATTCGCTTTTTGGTATTACACAACTCTTAGCACTAAATCTTTTAACGCCGTAAATTTAGATCATTGATGCTCGGTTCTTATCAAGAAATATTACAAAGTTCTGAAATCTTTTTAAAATTGATGGTGTTGCTTGTATTACGGCTAATAAAATACAGACCACTTTGACGCAAGGTCTCCGGATACATTTTAAGAACGGTGTCACCTTTCCTCTCCACTTTCCAAGGCGCGTCGCAAGCAGCGGCGAATTTACTTCTTATGGTTTAGTTACGTACAATTACTATTATGTCGCTACGTTACTATAGCGCTGTCTGCTATTCTTCTTTTCTTTTTAGACACACGGCCGGATTTAACGCGTTCATTATTTTATTTTCCAATTTTATTATACTATAACACACAGCGGGTATTAGTTAGAAGAGCGCGCGAGATACGTTTAGGCTTTAAAGGAGACGCGGCGCGTTCAATGGAGCAAAACGTGAGATATAGCAAAATGCGATTATATTATTATTAATATTATTATTATATTATTATTATTCTATTCACGATGCAGATATTTTATTTAAGCGTTAAATGGTATATATATTATATGTAGAGAGAAAAAGAAAGAGAGAGTTTAAACGCCAATTATGTCGCGCCTCTTCCGTTTTTCTGAAAATCTTCCAAAAAGAAAAGAAGGTTTTTTTTTACCACGCTTCACAGTTGTGTACAAATTTTACTATGTAGTAGAATTTGCGACTATAATTCGCAACTAATCAGCCTCCGGGAAGGGCAAAGAGAGAAAAACGTATCTTTTAGTAACGATAATAAAACGAATTAATGAAAAAATTCACTTTTACATTGTAATACGCGTCACTTATGTTAATCGTGTCCTTTTCAATGTTTTTCAAGAAATGAAATCTGTATTTATTTTTTGTCAACGTTCGCAGAATTTTCTCCGACAAGATTTCTATAAAAATCGTATGCAAAGATTTTTAAATGGATTAAATCCTTGAATCTACAATCCTACATTCGATCGTTCAATCGACGCTACAAGTTAAAAAACAAAAGATTTAAATAAATCTATTCGCTAATCACTCGATTAAATTAATTCGTTGATAGTTCTCAACTGATTTTAAATATCTTTCGATACGTGTATTTTTATAGAGTGATAATCTGTCGGGAAAGTTTTAACAAATATACCGTTATTTATGATATGATAACGTATGTCAGCAATAGGAGAGACGGAGGAGATTGCGCGGATTTCGAGGGTAGTTTGCACAAAAAATACAGGTACATACGCGTTGCGAATGAAGAAAAGAAAATCTATTATATTATATATTATATATATATATGGAAATATATATTATATTACGTTATGTTATATCGCACGTCCGAAAGCACCCTCCAAGACGCGTTTATATAATATATATGTTTATACATTTAATGCATACATAGACGTATATGTGTACATGCTCCACGCGTATACATATATATTGAATAACAATAATAAAGATGATGCAAGTTGCTGCACACGTTCGCACATTATCGTCGCATATCGCGGATGCATGCCTGTCCTACGATTATGTACCGTCTCGGATGTACCTTTACGTGTATATCTTTGGTGCCTGGTGGCGAGAAGAACGACAACGCAATCTAATAACGCGATTATTATTATTTTTATTTGTTTTTATCTAATTGTAGTTTCTCTCTTTGTAACTTTTTGTGATATACATTGCAATAGTCTAGCGGAGTTTGTCTCTTCTGTCATCCTTCACTGCAAACACAGTTCCTCTCGCGTATTTTACATCCCCGTATATATGTGGAATACCTCATCTATCGCATTATTTTACTTGAATCCCCGTCGTATTCGAGAAGAATATCTTATTGCGAGTCTCTTATGACGTAAATCACAGTTTGTGTGAGTTATATGCAATTGAAAGGCTTAGCAGATTAAAGTTTGCTTCAGTTCTAAACTTGATCCCACGTTTTTATTTAACAAATTTACCAAAAAAGAATATTCAAAATATTTCAATGTTAAAATATAAAGCTACATTGATATAATTAAGAAGGAGAAAGATCATTATTTTATAAATTAATCTATGGTATTGACTAGTATTTGTCGATTCTTTCAAATCTTGTGCGCAAGTACTTATTCAATCCCAAATATTCAAAAACTTGAGTAACCTAATGCTGAACAGTGAATGCAATTAAAATGCAATTAGAATAAGAGAGTAAGTGGTTGGGGCAAATATTTTCGTGAAGCAGAGGTTCTATCTTTCACAGATAAATAAAAAGAAATTGTGTGTTCTCCACTCTCGTTGACGCGATCAGCTCTTCGTGGTACCATTTATCGAGAGCGCAAACGACTTTTCATCTTAAGCCGTGTACCTTTTTTCTCGTTGCATGTGCGATCGGCAGATCAGCTGCCGCCGCAGCTACCGAGCGACATCACCTTCGAAATCTGTAGCTCGTCGTCGCCGTCGTCGCCCGCCGCGCCGGCCTCGTCGGCCTCGTCCTCGGCGACGCACGGCGGTGACGACGAGGGCACCGTCGGTGCGGGCGGCGTCTTCATCAAGACCGAGAGAGTGGTCAGCGGTGTCCACTTCTTGACGGATCGCACAGACGAGGACCGAACCGACCTTCTGCTACCCAAATCCGAAGCGGGCGAGAACGAACCGGAGGTCAGGAAGCAGGTTGGTTGTCTGTAACACGCGACCTCGATCTTTGGCACCTTGAAAATCGTTCCCCTGGACTTTTAATTAACACGTGGCGAATCTTTAATTCATAACGAATAACACAATTCAATTAACTTTGATATTCTGGTACCCTCAATACGTGTGTGGTAAATTCTAATAAATCGAGCGTAGCGTAGTGGGAGAAAGGGAGCGAGAGAGGAGATTTTAAAACAATACCAATAAACGTTGTTTTCCAAGCTGCTGGAATACCTCATTCAAAACGACGGTTCCGTAGTCTGCAAGTGGTGCGGCGAGGTGCTTCCGTCGCGAACCCGTTGGTACAGGCACAAGTACAAGCTCCACGTGTCGACCCAGGTGGCCCAGCCGGCGCCGCTCTTCAAGTGCCACAGCTGCAACACGTACTTCAAGTCCCGCAAAGGCTACATCGGACATTTAAGTTCCCGTCATTCGGACAACGAGAACGACGAGAACCGCGAGGAGCCCGGCAATAAGAAGACACGGAAGACCTCGACCGACGTGAGTGCTGCTCACAATATACCTGCAATATCGAAAATACAACCTTCTTTCAAAATGTCTTCATCAAAGTAACAGCTATATCTCCAAATTGTTCAGTACCTATTCGATACCTTTCTACTCAATATTGGCAACGTGTATTGTTGTAGATTGGCAAGGGTCCGGATTGGGAGCAGCAGCGGGAGAAGGAGGAGAAGTTGGTGGCTGACATAATCGACCGGGTGAAGCGGGAGTGCGAGGCGCAGGGTGAAACGGTGACGAGACGCGGCTACTCCAGGAGGTCCACGATCATGAACAGCTAAGGCCGAGCCGGCCGCGTCGGCGAGGGGCAACCATATCATCATCGGGCGAGGCCCTCCTCGTGATCTCGAAGAGAGAGGTCCGTTCAATCCCTTCGGTCCTGTCGGCATCCCTTTCTTTTCTTTCTACATGCATTATATATATATATATAGATATCGATCGTTATTTTCGAGAAAATGTAGAAAAACGGCATAGTGGTTTCTTTAAGTACGAGGGAAAATTATAGGAAGGACCGAAATGGGGATTGAACGTCTTCGGGTTTCGCGAAGAAGATACGTTCCTGATAATCGAACGAGCTATCGTTCGGGTGATGTAAAAATAAGGGGCACGGCTGTATATTTTTTTCCCGACCAGCTGTGGGTGATGAACGTCGACGACGACGTTTCCACGATCGCTATGATCGTTGCGAATCCTTGTAAATAGAGAAGCACTTTCTTTCGTCGCGTATCAGCGAGTCGCAAAGAACTCTCGATTACCCAAGTCCCTTTACGTGCGAAGGCAAGGGACTGTATCGCAAAAATTTCTTTAATCTTATTGTTGATTTTTTAAAACAATTTATGTTGTCAGTTACAGTTGCTTATAAAATTAATTTTAACAAAAAAAGTGGGATGAAACAGTATCAAAGAATGCAATCAAAATGGAAGGACGAGACAAATCTTTGCGCGATCAAAGTTAGTAGTAATTAAAATCCCACAATTAATTATAATCCAAAAGAGTTAAGTTCCGGCGAATAAATTTTAATACAGAGTTAGAGCTAGAATAATAAACGATATCAAAGTAAATTCTTAGGGATGGCAATACATATTCGATTTTATTTACATTTAGCTTCTGGAGATCTTTTAAATTTGTGATGAACTTTCTTCATGTTTACAATTTTCACCCTTTTACGGTCGATCCAATATCGCGTAATCGAGAGTTCCATGCACGTCGCGTCATTACGAGTAAAGGGGAGCTTTCCTCGAAGAAGTGTAAAAGAAGGAGAGAGAAAATCCAGTGCCAAATGTATATCTTCCCAGGCGCACGGCGATCGTTTGCTCAACAAGTGCGACCGTACAGTATACCGATCTGTTGTTTTTGCTGATTTTTGACGACGTGCTCAGTCCCGCCGATGCTGCGTGTCCACGTGATGCCAAAGGCGGCAACGCCACGCGACATTTCTACCTAGAACGAATTATTATTCGTTACTTTTAATATTGCACTAATTAAACGGATTAATCTCCAATTAGCATAAATGAAAAGGATGTCGGCAGAAATTCATTTAAGATTGAAATCTAACAAAAAGAGAGATTTGACTTTAAAATGTTTTACAATTTTTCCTTATACTTTTTCATTCGAGACGTATTAGACACACATACGTGTTGTTTCTTTTTTATGAAACACATCCGGTGTATCTTGTGCGTGACATAATACGCAGCACGTATTGTGGTACACAGAGCAAATTGAAAGGAATCTTATTGACATACGGGTACCAACGTTAATTACAATTCACTCAATTACGCGCTCTCCCAGTTACGTCACAAATATACCGGGTGCACGAAATATACCTGGTGAAAACACGCAGAAGGTGCGGACACGCATGCTATTGCACTCGGATAATTAGATCGACACGATTATTAGTGTCGCTAGCGGAACAATAGATAGATAGATAGATAGATAGACGAATATATCTGTGCGTGCGTTTAATCGCAAAAGCACACCCCCGAGGAAAAACCTTTTAAGAAACTGACTGAAAGGCGAAAATTGATTATAATTTTTGGCAGATACTTTGACAATCAAAACATTCTTCAGCTTACATCCTAAAATTAAAAATTCTTTAAAAATTAATTGTTTAGATTTCTCCTTACTAATACAATTGTTATTCATTGAAAATAATTTTAGAGACTACTCTTTGTGAATTATTATTTTAATCGATTCTTAGACACTCTCGTTTTTTTAGCACCTGGGTTTCCCTCGAACGTGGACTTTTATGATCGAGCGCACGTGACGTACGAATAAGTATGATATAATGCGCACTGATCGGCACCGGACGTGCGGCGGGCGCGTTATATACTCGTGTATTAATCTCGCTGAAATATTCCAAGAAAGTCTGTCCATTTTTTCGAATATCTCGAAAGTACTTTAATCCTCATTATTCTGTCTTGTGCGCGCCAAAGGAATCGCGCAATATATACATATATAGGAGGTCCCTCGTAAATAAAAATTCAGGACAGCCTGTAAAAATCACACACACACACACACTTACACGCGACTAGCTTAAGTTTGGTGCTAATGGACGAGATAAAGAAAAACACACATAATACACACATACACACGATCCGAGATACTCACACATTTTCCACGTATATACAGACGCGCGTTTCTTTGACGACGCGTGAAAACGCATCGATCATTTTGGAATTTGTAATCGCGGCGACGAGGCTTCCTCTGACCTTGTCCGCCGGGCATTACACGCAATCATGTACAGATGGACGCAGGTATATATGAGAGAGTGCGCGCGCTAGTGCACGCGCTGCATACCGATCCTGTGGCCCGTGTCCGTGCGGCCCGTGTTTTTTTTTTTAGCGTTACACGCGTCCGCGCGATTCCCTTCCGTGCGAGATCGCACGGTCGCGTTTGTACGCACGGCTAAGTAGCGACGCGACGACGTCAAATCCGTGCGGGGCGTGCACCAGCGGAAGATATTAATTCTGCGAGCTCTGGTTCGAAACGGGACCCCGCCTCGTGTTCATCTCCCTCTTGATTAATCTGAAGGATCGATCTTGAAATTTTAAGAAATGTACGCGTATAACGGAGAATTTAAATTGAGAACGAGTATAATTGAAAAGCAAAGAAACTTACTAAAAAGGATTTTTGCGAGAATCACATCATGATCGCGCGTGTCTTCCCTCTGAAGGATCTCTCTTTTTGTCCTTGCATTTCTATAAATTATCATATATTATAGATTTGAATTTATAAGCGTCACTAAATTTCTGCAAATTATTAGCGAGTAAAAGCACAATTTCAGGATGTATTGTAAAATACATTCTTTTGAAGAAAGAACCCCCCAACAATGAGTTACGTGAAAAGCCATTCCTAAAATCTTTCAAGGAATTTTGGAAAGAGATATCGTTTAGCCAAAAAGAAAGGGAATTTCTAGTCATTAATTCCACGCGTTCCAATGACTCGTTAAGAAATATATCAAATCCAGTATATATAGCCGTAAATGAAATATTTTATACTATTTTAAGGTCATATACATTTATATGCGAAAAACATATAGGAGAATTGCGTTCAGTCTTTTCCGGAATTCAACGTTGTGCCAATGATAAAGTTTTTGCGGTCGACTAAAGTTTACTATCACGCAATGTTATTAATAGCAATTTTAAGAAGAAAAAAAAAAGATTAGACGAACCTCGTAGCTTAAAAACAGCGCTTCCCCATAAATTGCGTAGCGACCCGCGCTCTTATCGATATGACCCGCGGGCGTCGATAACATTTTGGACTCTCCATAAGTGATATCAGTCGTCTTCCAGTGATATCGCGTCTGTAAATATAGCGATCTCTAATCCGTACCAAGGAATCGAAT